CGTCGCCATCGCCGTCGTCGAGCGACCAGGAGGGCCCCCAAACGGTTTCAGATGCCATCAGTATTGCCCCAGGAGTGCTAGACAACGGCCCGAAGGTTGCCCGAAAACGTCACAAGAGGGCACTGCGGCGCCCAGAGAGGCCCAGCACGGCGGCCTCCGAAGGCATCAGACTGGTCAAGAGAGCGCTAAGATGGCCCAAGAGGCCCACCAAGATGCCCCCAAAGGCCCCCAATAGACTCCCAGGAGAACCCCATTAGGCCCCACGAGGCCCCAAGAGGCCACCTCATCCTCCTCCCCTTCGTCCTGTTTCTCCTCCCTGTCCTCCTTCTCCTCCTCCATTCTCTTCCTCCCCTGAATGATCCCCCCAACGGCTTTCACAACGGCTGGGGTAACACATCTCCCAATAGCTTGGCCAGACTTTGGCCCATCGTATGGTCGCGTAAGCGTTTCCAAACGGCCGGGGTCAGCGTTGCTTCGCTGTCTGCGTCTTCGATACGGCCTCTTCTGGAACCCCCAGATCCAACACACTTTGCATATCTTGGGAGGCTGAATTTTGCTTTCGCCGGCGGAAGCCAGCGGAACCGTCCTCGTTTTGTTTCCGCCCGTTCCGCGACCTTCCGCCAAAGATGGCAACCGCACGATCTCTCTTGGGCGAGGGCCTTTCTAGAGCGGCCCGTGTGCGCAACGTGTTGCAATTTGCGTATGCGTATGTGTCTAAATGTGTGTGATTACGTATAAACTAGATACACACCTCGCTGGGTACGCATACAAAGCATCTGGAAGCTACGAGCTGGATACAAATGCGGAAACACTGCGTGACCAGCCATAGAGGGGCCGACTGGAAAGACACCTGGCCACATGTGCATCCAGCTCTCGCCAGGCTGGCTGCGTCATGCTCATACATGTCCCTGGTTTATGCGTACATACATACATACATGCATGCATACATACACACATATATATACACACGTGCGCACACACACATACATACACACGTGTCGACATACATGCGTGCAGACATGCACACATGCGCACATACATGCACGCACACATACATACCTACATACATGCATGCAGGCATACGTACGCATGTGCATGCACAGATGCAGGTATACATTTCTGGATGTACGCATGGCTATAGGACAGCAGGTCGGTATGTAGGTCGACAGGTGGTTAGCTAGGTATGTAAGTCTGTATGTATGCATACTTACATTTCTGACTGTGCGTATGTATGTATGTATGTATGTATGTATGTATGTATGTATATGTGTATATGTGTATGCATGTCTGTCTGTCTGTCTGTCTGTCTGTCTGTCTGTCTGTATGTATGAATCAATGTATGCCTGCATGCACGCATGCATGGACGTATGTGTGTTTGTATGTGTATGCATGTATGTGTATGTATGTATGTATGCATGCATGTACGTATGCATGCATGCATGCATGCATGTATGCATATCGATATGTGCATATGTATGTACTGTTGTATGTGTGGTACTGTTGTACGTTATGCATGAGTGTATATATGCATGCATGCACGCGTATATATATATATATATATATACATACACACAAGACTGCAGTGGCGCTTCGCGCCATGCACCTTGGTCCTTGAAGATTGGTATGCAGGCGGAAATGGCAGAAATCAAGCGGACAATTTTGCGATAACTCCTTGCTGCCTTTTTCTGGCATCGCCGTCATAATAATGTTGTTCGTTATCCCTCCTCCATGCTTATGTTTCCTCATTCTCGCCATACCCTGGGTGTTCTCTCCATCCTCCTCAGCTCTTTTTGCGGAGGCTCCTCCTTGGAGAGCCTCTGGGGGCCTCACCAAAGTTCTCAGGCTTTCTTAAAGCCTTCTGGAGGCCTCCTGGGCGTGTTCTGGGGGCCTCTGGGGCTTCCTAAGGCCATCCTGCCTCTAACCGCAGTCTCCCTGAACGCCCCGGTCACGATTTGGAATGCTTCGGAGGGTGTCTTGGGGCCATCTTGGGCCGCCATGGGGCTCTCTTAGGGCCATTTTGGACCCCTGTTGTGCCGTTCTGGGGCTCTCTTGGACTGCCTGGAAGCCCTTTCGGATGGTTGCGGGGCGACTTTGGAGCCTCGCAGGCGACTTCGGACGCCCAGAAAACCGCTGTCTTGGAGCGTCGGGAAGCCGAAAAGAGGAGAACCCGAAATTTACCAAAAACCTATATTAAATCGATAAAGATTCCCTCTTGGGGCCTTCTTGGGGGTGCTCTTGGAGGCCTCTTGGTACGTTTTGGAGCGACTCTCGGGGTATGACGGCTTCTTGGAGCGCTGTTGTGCTGTCTTGGGGTTCTCTGGGACGTCTCCGATGACACCCCTGATCGCCCTAGGTGTGCTGTGAAGGCTTGGCAAAACGCCCTGCGAGGCCCGGGGGGCCGCTTCGAGGCCCGTCCGAAGGGTCCCAAAGCCCCAGATCCCGGGAGTCCGTTTTTTTGGGGGGGGTGACGGGCTTTCCCCCCGCCTGGGCTTGTAAAAATATAGAAAGAGGAATGTATGTATGCACCTATGTCTGTACACATGTTTGTCAGCCCTCCACATCCTCCTGCTTCCCCCGTCTTCTCCTCCCCTCCTTTCCCCCCTTTCCTCCTTCATGCTTCTTCTTGCACCCTCCTCCGCCTTCCAAGGCCAACATGACTCCCCCCCCCTGCAGGCGGTGCAGGCGCGGGCTCTTGGGCGGGGGGGGCCACTCGCGATCCCGCCCTCTGGCCCCCGCATCCGCCACCAATCCTACTGCGCAGAGCGCAGCGTCGGGGCCGACGCCCCCGGTGGCGGTGGCCCGCAGGCCCGAGGGGGCGGCGGTGCCCGTCATGGAGCGGTCACACGTCTTTGACACGAAGATGTACCGCGCAAGATGCTCGTCCTCCATCCTCCTCCTGCTTCTTCGCCCCCGCCCTCCTCCCTCGATCCTCCTGCCTCCTCCACCTCCTCCTCTCCCTCCTACTCCATCGTCATCATGATACTTCTTCTTCTTCTTCCTCCTCCCGTCCTTATGCTCCTCCTCCTCCTCCTCCTCTGCTCCTCTCCCCTCTCCTCGCCTCCTTCCTCGTCGTCGCCGTCGTCTGCTCCCCTCCCGGCGCTTCTGGGGCCTCGTTGATCCTGCGCTGGAGAGCGGCCATGTCCTCGAGGGGTGGAGGCGGTGGAGAAAGGGCGAGGAGGAGAAGAGGGAGGAGCGAAGGGGCGGATCGGGAGGGAGGCGTGAGGAGGATGGGGAGGTAGAGGTGGAGAAGAAGAGAAGATGACTGAAGGGGGATGAGAAGACGGAGGGGGTCCGCGATTACTTTGGCTTGAGGACGTGGCAGCGCGCCAGCCGCGTACCGTACCAGGCCACCTTCTATACCTTTTTTTTACTGTATATAACCTCACACATTCGTTCCTTTCATCCCACACCTCTTACACCCTCAGGCCCCGCAGGGCCAAAGGTCTCCGATCTCACGACATTCAAAACAGCGACTCCGTCAAGTGCCTAGTTTGACGTCAGCACAGCACTACTTGCAGGGCCATTTTGGCCAAGCACTACTGCGGCGTCGACGACTACGTCTTACGCCCACACCAACCAGCACTCGACGACCACGTCGACTTCCTACACTGCCTGGCACCGCAGGGGACAGGAAAAGATAACTACAGCACGCGCGGTCATACGAGTAGCATCAGCACGTGACCTACTCGATCAGCACACGCGCCACGAGGTCGACTCAACGCACGAGCTACTATAGGCGCACCACAGCGTCCAGCAGCCACCGCGACATTCACCCCAAGCTCCAACCATGGCGACGCCATGGAGTGCAACTGCGAGCGGACAAGGAACGGCACTGCCACCATGGAGGTCAACGTCGAGCCGCGCACGAACCGGGACAACTACGCCGAGACTCACCACGCTGGCAATCGGAGCGGGCCTCGCACGCTGGAAGAACCACATCTGGACGGACCAGTGGGCCAAAGAGCACCCCGACAAGCACTGGGGCCGCAGCCACAGCCACAACAACAACCGCAGCGGCATGGGCAGCAACTGCAGCGGTAAGGGAAGACCGCGCAGAACGAAGCCGAGTCCGACAGCTGGACCCCGAAAGGCAAAGAGAAGCTCAACAAGGGCAAGGGCAAGACAAAACATCGACCTGATGGAGAAAAGCGGAACAAAAAGGAGGAGGACACTCAACGACCACATCGCCAACACCATCAGCAGCGTCATGCCCACGAGAAGAATCTACGCTACCAGGAGGCACGACTGGGAGCTACCGCCCAACGACCCCAAGCTGAGGGGCGACTGAAGGACGAGCAAACACATCGAGACGAGGCGGTCCGCAACGGCCATTTCCAAAAATAGTACAGCAAGACTATCTACGACAGATGCCGTCATCATCATCATCATCATCATCATCATCATCATCATCATCATCATCATCATCATCATCATCATCATCATCATCATCATCACCATCATCATCATCATCATCATCATCATCATCATCATCATCATCATCATCATCACCATCACCATCACCATCACCATCATCATCATCATCATCATCATCATCATCATCATCATCATCATCATCATCATCATCATCATCTTCATCATCATCATCATCATCGCCATCGCCATCGCCATCGCCATCACCATCACCGATCACCATCTTCTCTCCTGCCCCCTCCTGCCCTCCCTTCCCTCCTCCTCCTCTCGCTGAACCTCCCCCCCTCCTCCTCCTCCCTGTCCTCTCGGCTCTCCTCCTCCTCCTCCTCCTCCTCCTCCTCCTCCTCCTCCTCATGCCGCCCTCCTCCTCCTCCTCCTCCTCCTCCTCCTCCTCCTCCTCCTCCTCCTCCTCCTCCTCCCTGTGCCGCCCTCTTCCCATGCCCCCTCCCGCGGCCCCGGAGTCCTCGTCGCTCGGAGGGGGCGGCCGGGCCGAGGCCCGCGGGTCCTGGGCCGCGGGGGGGGCGCCCGGGGCCTCGAGGCCCCCGGGAGCTCGAGGGCCGCAGACCGGGAGGCGCGAGGCGCGGGGGCCGAGGCCTCGAGGCTCGAGGTCTATGAAGTCACGAGGGTCGAGGTCTCGAGGTGCGAGGGCCGAGGCCTCGAGGCTCGAGGTCTCTGAGGTCCGGAGGGCCGAGGTCTCGAGGGGGGAGGATCGGGGATTCGAGGCTCGAGGTCTATGAGGTCCGGAGGTTCGAGCTCTCGAGAGGGGAGGATCGGGCATTCGAGGCTCGGGGTTTCGAGATCAGGAGGTTCGAGGTCTCGAGGGGGAGGATCGGGCATTCGAGGCTCGGGGATCGAGAGCTTCTAGGCCGCAGGGTGCGCGGGAGGGAGGATCGAGACGAGGCGAGCGTGGAATCCACGACGGTCAACCTCGAGCGGAAGCCCTTCACGGCCTTTCCGGGGATGGGCATCTTCGACCCTCACGCTGAAGGTCTAAGACGGAGCCAAGACGAGGATGAATTTGGACGAAGATAAATCGATAATTTCTGAGATGCCACGGCTCTGGAGGATGTCTCGGGCGCCGCGGCCATCTCCGAGCGTTCCGGAACGCCCTGAGAGCGTTCAAGAAGGCTCTGGAACGGACTTCTCCTCGGCCAAGCTTCGCCCGAAGGTTGCGTCGAGGCTCGAGGATCGAAGATCTTCGTGTTTCGGGCGTGGCCTGAATGTCTTTCGCGGACGGCCCGCGACCCAACAACGACCCGCCCGCGACGCACCCGCGACCCGACCGCGACCCACCCGCTACCCACGCGCGACCCACCCGCGACTCACCCGCGACCCACCCGCGACCCACCCGCGACCCGCTGGCGACCCACCCGCGACCCACCCCGCGCTTACCCCCTGACTTTTATCCGCAACTGCGGGGTGCTACATAAGACAAAGGGGGTAAGAGAGGGAGAGGGCGAGAGAGAGAGAGAGAGACACAGAGAGAGGGATGGAGGGACTGGGGATGAGGAGGCACCTGGAAGGAGGCGTGGGTGCTGGTGGGCGGAGGAGCTGGAGGGGGGAAAGAAGCAAGAGGAGGAGGAGGAGGAGGAGGAGGAGGAGGAGGAGGAGGAGGAGGAGGAGGAGGAGGAGGAGGAGGAGGAGGCAACAGTGACCTGAAACCAACCCTGCACTGGATATTTTTCTTTCACGCGATCCTGCCAACGCGACCCCGCCGCCCTAATCCGTGAAAGGAACAGGGGCCACGAGGGCCCCGGGCCCCGGACACTGGGGCCCCCCGCCTGGACCTGCTCCCCATCCCGCACGGTTGTTGCACGGCCCCGGCGCCCGTGGAGGGCCCCGGGAGTCCGAAGGCGGTGAGGCAGCTCCAGGGCCAGCATCGCTCGGACGTCCCTTTCCCGTGCACGCTTCGGCCTCGTGCGTGCTTTTTTTGTGCTTGAGGGTCCAGGAGGGTCCTCGATGGTTCTCGCCGAGAACAAGATCCACACGTCCGAGCGACGCCAGGTCCATTGCGAGTCACCACTGCCCACTGCGACCGCACCCTGCGGACATGCGACGCGGAGGCGCCGCATCGCGCGCGCGCGCGTCGACCTGTGGAGAAGCTGCGGGATGCCGTCCTGCCTCGGCCTTGCCCGGCCCGTCCGCAAATCCTCTCGGTCTCACCGCCCGTGCCCCGGCCAGCAGAGACGGCGCAGCCCCGCACGACAGCCCCGTCCGAGATTTCAGCCAGGAGCAATCTAGTGCGAAAGGAGTCCGTTGACCTCCTCCTCTGCCCCTACCCACCTCCGCCAAAGGGGGCTGATCCCTCCTCCTCCTCCTCCTCCTCCTCCTCCTCCGGGTGCGACGGCAAGCCTGAACTGACGAAGGTAGCAACACAGTTATAAGTGGACTCGGCACACGATACCCAAGAGCTCGAAAGACACGTCGCCCCGCCAGGTTCGAATGATAACGAACTCTGGGCACATGCTGCGCCATCGATACGTCATGACGTTGCGGACTCTCTTGCGCTCTCTGTCCGAGTAGCTGTTCCCAAGAGGCACCCATGGAAGACGCAAAGAACTGCATACTTCGCGCACGAAATCCTTGCCGCCTTTGTACCATGTTTCCTCGTCTGGACAATCATCCGATCGGTGTTGCCAGTCTGGGCTCCAAATTTGGCAAAATAACGCGTCGAATGCAGCATGCGGGCCCTGACGCGCATGGACCATGCCACACGTCTTTCTACGCTTGCTCACGGGCTCATCCCGGACCAAGCCCCAGTGAATGATGCCCCGATCTGTCCGGAGAATCTGTAGCGTCTCGGCCACCGTGCGTTCGTGCCACAACTGCTCGAACACGCGTTCAAGGACGTGCGCGTGGAAAGGGACGTATCCCAAATATGCCATCCACTTCCGTAGTTTGGCGTGCACTCGCCCTTTGCACTGGTACCTGGACTCATCATCTTTCCTGCGCCAACGAGACATGTTCACACGATGCCGCCTCTCCCACCGCACAAATTCATGCAAGCAGCGCTTATCCGAATGACATATGGACAGAAGGAAACAAAAGAAAACCTGGGGGAATCCGCAA